TAGTGGTCATTTTGTTGTCCTGGTTGGCAGGAAAATAAATGCTGATAATGCCATAGTTGAAGTGACATTGTGAAGTCTGGTTGTGTGAACATGGGTCGCTCCCTTAAACTTGTTCATATTGTGTTGTAATATTTTACCAAAAAAGTACTTGACTTGATTGGATTTTGTGGTTGATATTCACCACAAAAAGTCCTCGATGTCAGTATGCAGCTTCCAAATTGCTCCAAAGTAACACAAAAGACTAGGGCTGGGCGATATGGCCTAAAAAAATCAACATATTAATGTGTTTAAGGGGCCTGAATTACTGTTTCCCACCACTTTCTTGTTACAGAAGGAGAATGCAGTCCAGTCACTCTAGAAAAGGTTCTTGAGTTCACATCTGGAGCCTCAACAGTGCCTCCACTGGGATTTCCTCAACGCCCACAAATCCAGTTCCTTCATGAGGGCAACCGAGTATTCCCAGAAGCAAATACTTGTATTGTGGTACTCCGCCTGCCGCTGCACTCTTCTTATGAAGCCTTTAAAAAACACATGATGGAGGGAATTTTGCAAGCTCCAACCTTTGGACTTGCATGATGTCACTATGTGTAAAACTGAATTGAAAAGTTATGTTGGATGTTAGTTACTTGATAGAATTGTGTTGAAGCAAGTCACTGGTTCAGATGGTAATTTTAGATGCAGTAATTCTGTTCGTTTTGCATAAGTAACAGTTCACTTTAGTTGATTCAATATTGAGTTTTTCAGTTAACTCAAATTTATTGTGTAGTATTTTTGCTTTAATTTGTTTTATTGTTAATAATACTTTTACAATGATTTATATATTTTTTTATATATTGTGTTTTATTTTTTTGGAAAATATATATTTATTTTCTTTAGGTTTTACAAGACATTTATTGGGCTTATAATTCAAGGTTACTATGGTGACACTGAGGTTGGTCTAATGAAATAGATAGCCTTTATAAGCCTACTATAAGGATTTATTGGGCTTATAATTCAATGAATTTGATTAAATCTCACAAAAGCATTATGTTTAGCTTATGTACATGTTACAATACA